ACTATGCAGATGAGGAACAGAAAAAAAATAAGGGACAGGAAAGAATTTAACAAATTTCTCTTTTGAAAATCTGAAAGAATAAAAAATGAGAAATACCTGATTGAATATAATTAGTCTTGAGACATAAGTATTCATCAATCATTTTTAAAATTCAACCTTATTTGAGAAAAGTGTTCTACAAGAAGCATGGTCTGAAATTTATATGAATTTACTATAATACATGTTCACAAACAGCTTATGTGCTCACATCTTACTATTATAATAAAGAGAATTAAATTTAACTGCATTAAAAAATGTCATTCATGGCATTGCCATTATATTTCTATGAGTAATCATTTTTATTGTAAAATCAATTGCCTTCCCACTGAAATCCTTTCAATAAATTCTCCCCATATTTATAGTAAAAACTTTTCATCATCCCTAGCAATTCTTTTCATTTCATCTTACCTCAGACATAAAGGCAAAGGTCAACAAAAGAACTGAAAACAAATGCTGGGAGAAGGAAGCAGATAACAATCTAATTGTTGGTGAGATTGCAAACTGGTACAGTCAGTATGCAAAAGAGTGTAGAGAATTCTCAAAACTCTAAAAATAAATCTATACTATGATCCAGCTCTACCACACCTTGTTATATGCCCAAAGGCCTCCACATCTTACTCTCAGCTGTGTTCATTATGTTTTATATGCAATTACTAGGAAATAGAAACAATCTAAAAGCCCAAATACATAATGAAAATTTGTTACATATATACTATGGAAAACTGTTCAGCTATAAAGAAAAACAGAAGTATGGACTTTGCAGGTAATTAGGACTACAAAAGATGATATTAAATGAGGTAGACCAGGCCCAGAAAGACAAATGTCATTGGAAGCTTCAAGTTTCAAATGATAAGATTTGAATACATATCCTGGAATACCCACAGAAAGAAGGAAAGAAAAAAGGGACCACTTGTGTTGTGGTGGTGGACTGTAGTGAAGGGAATAATAGGATACAAACGACCTTTTGGACAAATGGGAAAAGAGGGGCTCAAATTAAAGATGTCAGAAGGACATAAAATAAATACATGAGGAGAATGGAAAGGATTAAATAATAATAAGGATGTCTGAAAAAATCACAGGACATCATAATATTAATTATTTAACTAAAAATATAATATAGTTAAGTATGTATTTAAATACACATATACAGTTTAAATGAAATTTTCCTCACCTGAACTGACAATGCTCTCTCTGAGAGCCAAACACCAACTAACAAAAAACCCCAAAAGTAGGCATGAGAAAGTCCTCCTTTATTTTATTGCTTAGAGTTGTCCCAAAACTCCCAAAACATGCAGTATATTCCTAATGCCCTTGTTTGCACCTCAGAGGTGGAAGGTAAGTCCCTATTGCTGAAGACACTATGCACTTCAGACAGGGCTCAGAGACCCCTGAATGGAACTGACATAAATACCTCCTACCTGAAGACTAGTTTTAATGGTACCAGAAGGCACCATGAAAGCTGTCCAAAGAGGGAAGCAACAGATAGTCCTACCCAGCTATAAAGCCTATAAACTAAAATGACCAGAGTGAGAAATAACACTAAGGGTGCAGTAGTTGTGTGCATACCTTTGCAGTAACCTACAAATCTCTAATTGAACTCAATGCCTACTCAACAAGCAATAAATCATGCCTGGTATCAGAACTTAGCCAAATACCCATGACTACTGAGGTCATTCATCTAGTCACCAGTTGTCCTGAGAATTAAGGAGTTGTTTATGCTTGTCTGTTTTTGGAATCATGGTGTCCTGAAGATAAAGAGGTCTTTTGCCTCCTTACTTTTTGTACATAAAGGCCATGAGAAGTAAACTCGTGGCTGTAGTATTTACTGACAGTCCTCCTGAATCTATCCTATGTCTCTGTCTTTTTTTTTTATGTCTCTGTTTTTTCTGTTTGTCTTTTCTTTTTTTTTTTTTTTTTTTTTTTTTTTTTTTTTTTTTTTTTTTCTATTTTTTTTTATTTTTTTGTCATTAAGACTTTCATTCTATTTATTTCTTTTC